CAGCTGGTGATGGAGAACGTGATGGAGATGGTGCGGTGGCGGAGGAGACCCGGGCAGCGTCAGAGGCCGGCGGGTCCCCTGGCAGCGAGTGGTCCTGGGGACGTGATGAGTGGCGACACTGGGACTGGTCTGAATGGCAGGGAGGTCGTCGCGGAGACGAAGAAGATGAAGAGGACATGCCTGGGACGAGCTCGAGGTTCAGGAATGTGATGTCCTGCCGAAGGAGCTGTTGGGTTGGCTTCTTTTGCGAAGGTCTGGCCTGAGCGCACAGGCTAGGTTATCTGTGCTGGCCTCCACGCACAACTCCCTGATGATCGAAGACGTGGAGCGGGCACTACGTGATCAAGAAGAAGAACTCCTGTTCATGGAGAGCAAGGGCCAGCAAGAGCGCAATTACCACCGCCCAAAGAGGACCTATTGGGTGGAAGAATCCCAGGAATGGGGTCTCCTGGACTATGAGCCGGAAGAGGAGGTGGAGCCTACGGTTCATTGGGTTGGCCGGCAACTTCCTGATGAGGTCCATGCACGGCCTGATCCTCCTGAAGTATCTGCAGTACCGGAGGCGGCATGGTGGTCGGATTCCTGGACGGACCCTTGGAATGGTCAAGATGGAATTTGGGCAGCCGCCGAAACCGATTTCTCGCAGGACGAGCTGAAAGAGCTGGAAGAGGCGTACGCAGTGTACGAAGGCAAGCTCCGGACCTTTGCCCAGGCCCGTGCCCTGATGAAGAACAGCGGTTGGACGTGGTTTCTTTCCGACAGCAAAGGGCACCTATGGCAAGTCGAAGGACAAGAAGGGCAAAGGGTACGGCTCTGCTCCGGTTCTGGCAGCTTCATCCCCGACGAGGAAAGGACCTGGAAAGGTTGGCTCACCGGACTACAGTGGATGCTTCATCTGCGGAGCGAAGGACCATAGCTTTCAGAACTGTCCTAAGCGTGGGAGAAAGGGAACAAGTTCTGGAAAAGGGTCCTCGCCTTCCTACGGCATCTTCATGGTCACCCCCTGGGACCTGGACGTGAACGAAGACGTGATCGGTGACGATGGCATTATGCTGGCCACAGAGGAGGCGCATGGCTGGAGGGCCCATGGAGTGATCGACTGTGGAGCTACGGAGACGGTGGCTTCGTTGCAGGCGATCGAAGAACTCATGGCTCGACGACGTGAGCTTCGCGATGGACAAGAGGAAGCTATACGGGTCTTTTCGGACGTGCGCAAGCAGTTCCGTTTTGGAAATGGCCAGGAGCTGCAGGCCAGCTCCTACATTGAGATTCCCCAGCAGATCAACGGTTGCACCTTCTATCTCGGCATCTTCACTCTCGACACGGAAGGGTACGTGCCGGTGCTCCTGGGCATCAAGACTCTTCATCGCCTGGGCACCGTCGTGGATTTTGCAAACCACCGTGCAGCCTTCACCCGAGTATGTCAAGATTGGCTTCCCCTCGTGAACTGTGAGCGGACCGGGCACTTGTTAGTTGACATGAGCCTGGACTGGATGACCCCGAAATTCACGACTGTCTACATGGCGCGAGAGGGATGGTTTGACTTGGGGACGGAGGTTGTTGAGGTTCCTTTTGAAGGGCATGCTCCGGTTGAGGATGAACAGGATGCAGATGTGAAGTTTGAATCCGATTTGCAGCAGCCGATGATAGCTCAAGCTAGTGAATCTGCTGGAGGAGCTCCTCCTGCTGAGCTAGGCAGCCATGGCCATGATCCACATGGAGAAGGAGATCGCTCAGCGGGAGACATTCGCCGTCGGCAAGCCGAAATCCAAGGCGAAGGGCAAGTCCAAGGGGTCTCCAAAGGTCAAGATTCCGGACTCGGACAAGTACGACTTCAGCCGGGAGGAGAAGACGGATCCGCGGGACCCAAGGGCTCAGGGTCCTCCATGCAATGGAACTCACGAGCCGATGCCGATGGGCCGTGGCTCTCTTTCCGGGAAGAACGGACATGCGATGTGGCTGACATGCCAGAGGTGTCGCATACGGCTGTCCTATGTGCCGGCGATTGGCGCTCATGCCCGTTTCCGGCAGTCACCTCCCCTGGCCAAGGACGTGGAGGACACCCTCAAGGAGAAGATCAACGAGGTGGAGACCCAGCCGGAGATCCTGAACACCGCCAACGTGGCGCTGGATGGTGCGGAACGCAGTCTGATGAAGAAGCTGGACGCCGTGAGAGCGCAGAAGGAGACGGCCTACCAGCGGTCCAAGATGAACCTGTCCAAGAAGATGGCCAAGAGGGTCGGGGAGGAGACCGCAGAGGAGGCCGAGACTACTTCGCAACACAGCTGGATTCTGCCGGATGGCGGCGAGGAGAAGTAAAATGTTTGGACGAGAACCAGAAGGCCGCCCTGTTCAACGAGGCGGCCAACACGGTGGAGATGGTCGAAGAGGCGATGGCGGACGTGGAGTCCATGTGCATGATGAATTCAAAGGCGCCGGTGGATTTGGTGGAGATGTGCTGTCCACCGGATAGCTCGCTGGCGCAGATGGTGCTGGATCTTGGAGGCACGGCGGTTCGGATCAGCGAGCACAATATGAACCTGTCAACAAGAGCTGGTCTGGAACAAGCCCTGGATTTTGTGAGAAAGGAGAAGCCGCGCTGGCTCTGGGCTTCTTTCCCTTGCGGACCGACGAGCCAGGTGCAAAGTCTGAACGAGCTCACCCCGGAGGCGAAGGAGAAGTCGCTGATGAGGAAGAAGAAATCGAGGAGGTTAGTTCGCCGGGGACTTCAGGTGCTTCGGGTGCACGTGTTTGAGAACGGTGGCCAGTTTGCCTGGGAGTGGCCGCAGAGCAATCAAGGTTGGTGGTTCCCAGAGGTGCAACATTTCTTGAAGGATGTGTACCAGAAGACGGAGCTCTACAAGACCATCTTGCATGGCTGTCAGGTGGGAGTTCGAGCTGACGATGGGGGCTTCATGAAGAAGCCTTGGAAGATTTACACGACGGACCGGGAGCTGGCAACGTCTTTGAACCTGACCTGCCCTGGGAACCATGCTCACTCTCCCTGCCTAGAAGGGAGCAACACAGCTCGCTCTGCCTTTTACACCGAGAAGATGGTGAGGATCATTGCCCGCCGGGTTCTGGAGAGTAAGTTTGCGGTGCCGTCCTACATGGTGGACAACCAGGATGGCATGGTCTTTGGCACTGAAGAGGGAGAGAACCAGGACGAAGCGATCCCCGAGGGTGTCACTCCAGAACTTTGGCAACGAGTCCAAGATGTGGTGCACAAGCTTCATGCACGTGCCGGGCATCCCTCGAATAGAGCACTGGAAAGCTCTCTGCGGGCGCGGGGAGCAGACGAGGTGATCATCAAGGCGGCCAGGAACTTGCAGTGTGATGCTTGCAAAGAAGCGGGTAAGGCTGTGCCAGTGGCTCGGGCGACTTTTGGCCGGGCGGACACTTTGTGGCACACCTTGCAAATGGACGTGGGCTACTTCCGTTGGCACGATGAGATGACCCATGTTTTGTTCCTGGTGGATGAGGCTTCGACCTTTGTGGTACCTCACTTTCTGTTCACCACGAAGGGCGAAGAGTCGCGGAATGCTACAGCCGAGGAGGTTGTGAATGCGTTGGAGAGTACGTGGGTGCGTTTCTTTGGGCACCCCAGCACCCTGAGGTTGGATCCAGAAGGAGCCTTTCGTTCTCGACTACTTGAAGAGTGGTGTGCGAAAAGGGATGTGGAACTTTTGCCATGCGCTGCTGAGGCTCATTGGCAAATTGGCACAGTAGAGCGGATGATTGGAGTCATCCGGAAGTCTCTGGATCGCTTCATGAGATCCGAAGAGACAACGATGTGGCAAGGTGTGATGGCAATGTGTGCCGCCCACAACGAGAACGGCAAGGTCGGTGGTTTCAGCCCCAATCAGTGGGCACTTGGTCGTGATCCTGGTCTGGATTTGAAGTTGCATGAAAGTGGTCGAGATGCTGCTCCTCTCCATCTTAGCCAGCGAGATCCTAAGGATGAGCTGTCGAAGACGATGGCCACACGCATGCGGGCGGAGGAGAACTATAAACGGATGGTGGCGCAGGAGGCAATAAATCGGGCGTGGAATTCAAGGGCGAGAAGCAACGAGGTTTACCTTCCCGGCTCTCTCGTCTACTACAAGAGGTTCAAGGCCCCCGCGCAAGCTGCGTCCCATGAAGGAGCAGACGCATCTCGGAAGAGACTGGCCAAGTGGTATGGCCCTGCTCGGGTTTTAGCCACGGAAACGAAGCTCATCGGGGAGGAGGCCACCCCGAGTCGAATCATCTGGATCGTTGCGGCTGGAAGATTGAAGAGGGTGTCTCCAGAGCAACTCCGAATGGCTTCACCACGGGAGGTCATGATTGAGGAGGCAACGAGACCGGCATCCTTTCCCTGGACCACGCACGGCATGTTGGAGCAAGTGGAGAAGGGCGAGTTTGACGACTACGAGGACCTGTATCCGGACGGAGGTTTGATTCCGCCAATGCAGGGAGTGAAACGCAGTCGTAGCCAGAGTGTTCCTAGAACTGGTCCTGTTTTGAAAAAGGAGGGAGCTAAGAAAGAACCAAGACCGACTGAAAGAGCTCAAAAGACCTCATCAAGAACGGGTGGGATTTCAGAGCCAAAAGATGCGCCAAAATCTGTCGGTGAGGCCCGACGAGCGCCAGGAACCCCCCGAGCGGCACGGGTAAGATCGAGGTCCCCTGTAGCTGGTAGTAGGACCACATCTAGCTCTCCGGGCTTAGGTTTAGACGTTTCACGCATGCTGCAGGGACCCGACCTATGCCCCGTCTTCCTCAATCTCCACTGAGCTGTCGGGCAACAGGCAGTTTGCGGCTGCTCGCAAACGGCATGGAGTGAACTTCGCTGAGCCCGTCGATCAGTTCATGGTTGACATCGGCTTGGAGGAGCAGTCTGGGAACGGGGAGGCGATGGTGTTCCTCTCGGTTGACCTTCCTGACGATGAGAAGGGCATGAAGAAATTCAGAAGAGACCCAGAAACCTGGGTCGCTCACAAGGTGAAGAAATCGCCGGAGATCAAGCTGCACAAGGTATCGACGGAGAAGCAAGAGGAGTTCAAGACCGCCAAGGCTTTGGAAGTGACTCAATGGATACAGAGTGCTGCATGCCGGGCCGTGGAGAAGGGCAAGTACATCCCCGCCGATCGCATCATGAAGATGCGGTGGGTTCTCACCGTGAAGTCCACGGGTCGGGCTAAGGCCCGGATTGTGATCGTTGGCTTTGCTGACCCTGATCTGGAGCGTCTTCCGAGGTCTTCACCCACGATGACAAGGAGGACCCGGCAACTCATGGCTGGCATGGCGGTGGTGAAGGGTTGGTCGCAACTGAAGTGCGACGCCAAGAGTGCGTTCCTGCAGACATCCCGGAACACCGAGGAGGAGCGCGAGATCTATGCTCTTCCGGTGCCTGAACTTGCAGAGGCGATGAAAGTGGAACATCGTCAAGCGGTCCAAGTGCTTAAGAGCTGCTATGGGCTTGTAAATGCGCCCTATCAGTGGTTCTGCGAGGTGAGGGACCGCATCGTGTCTTTGGGTGGTCAGACCTTGATCACGGAGCCATGCTGCTGGCGAATCAAGAACGAGGAGGGTGTCGTCATCGGTTTGGTTGGATCCCATGTGGATGACTTCTACATGGTTGGTGACGAGCAGGATGACACCTGGTCCAAGTTCCTTCAGGATTTCAAGGACTCGTATCGGTGGTCCCCTTGGGAGGCTGATGGCTTTGATCATTGCGGGATCTACATGCAGCAGCTTTCCAACCGCGAGATCACCATGGATCACAGCAAGTACTGTTCCGGCATCACGCAGATTTCCTTCGAGGATCGGGATGTGCATGACAAGGCCACCATGGAGGAAGTGGAACAAGCCCGCGCTGTTCTCGGCGCGATTCAATGGCGAGTCCAACAGAGTGGACCCCAACATGGAGCAAAATTGGGGCAGCTCATGACGTTGCTGCCGCATTGCACTGTGCAGGTTTTGAAGGACGTGAACAAACTTGTCCGCGAGGTGTATTCTCAGCGGATGCTCTGCCCGATGTTCCAGAACCTTGGGTGCACTGCAGAAGAGACCATGCTGGTGTGCTGGACGGACGCTGCATTGGCGAACCGTGCAGATGGTGGAAGCACTGGCGGGTTTGTGGTGGCTTTGACGGCCCCGGAGATGGCGCGGGGCCAGAGGGCACCTCTCACGCTGGTCAGTTGGAAGTCCATGAAGCTGAAGAGAGTGGCCCGGAGTTCCCTTGCGGCTGAAGTGCAGGCTTTCAGTGAAGGGGAGCAGGAGGCCGCTTGCAATGGATCTGGCTCAGCCTCAGGAGGCGGTGAAGATGGTGAAAGGTATTTTGGTGACGGACGCGAAGTCGTTGTACGATTCCGTGACCAAAGGCGATGCTGCGACAAGTGGCATGGGGCTGAGCGACAAGTACTCGGCCCTGGAGCTGATGTCCGTGCGTGAGCGCATTCAGGAGGGCCAGACGGTGATCCGGTGGGTTCACAGCGGAGCTCAACTGGCGGACGCTGGTGAACAGCAGCTTGGTGAAGGCTCTCACGACAGGCGCCTGGACACTGGTGGATGACCCTACGTTCACCAGCCTGAAGAAGCGAAGAGCCGGAGGTCTCATGGATGTGGAGAAGACCCCCAGCTGAGCGGCGCATAATGAACCTTTCGGCCAAACCCTTTTGGGCGTGTGAGTGTATGTTGCATGAGCCTCCAGATTCATTAGGCACCACCTTTTGAATGTACGCGGCCATTGGATCAAGGGATCCCTTTGGCCGAACATTGCCTTTCAAGGCAAGCGGATGCTACGCGGTGAAAACAAAAGGCTGCGCTGAGTGGTCTTTGGAACCTGAGGGTTCCGATCGGCAATAAAAAGGGGGGGGTGAAGCTTGTGTTTTAGTTATGTCTTGTGTGTATTTTGTTGGCAGGAGGGATGCTAAAAAAAAACACGTGAATTCATTGAAATACATGTGATTTGTTGTTGTTGCTTCCTTTTGTTTTGGGGGGACGGGGGGGGGGGGGTGAATCTTGTTTGTTTTTGTTCAAGCATGAGGCATGTGTGTGTGTGTGTGCGTGTGTGCGTGCGTGCGTGCGTGCGTGCGTGCGTGCGTGCGTGCGTGCGTGCGTGCGTGCGTGCGTGCGTGCGTGCGTGCGTTGCGTGCGTGCGTGCGTGCGTGCGTGCGTGCGTGCGTGCGTGCGTGCGTGCGTGCGTGCGTGCGTGCGTGCGTGCGTGCGTGTGTGCGTGCGTGCGTGCGTGCGTGCGTGCGTGCGTGCGTGCGTGCGTGCGTGCTGTGTGCGTGTGTGTGTGTGTGTGTGTGTGTGTGTGTGTGTGTGTGTGTGTGTGTGTGTGTGTGTGTGTGTGTGTGTGTGTGTGTGTGTGTGTGTGTGTGTGTGTGTGTGTGTGTGTGTGTGTGTGTGTGTGTGTGTGTGTGTGTGTGTGTGTGTGTGTGTGTGTGTGTGTGTGCGTGGGTGTGTGTGTGTGTGTGTGGTGATGGCTCAAACCATTGTTTAAGCTGATGTTGTAACCACCTTGGAGGCTTGTTGTGCTTATGTTTGTTTTGTTTTTTGGGGGAGGGCAGGGCTTCCCCTGTTGGTTGTAAAAGGAAGCTATCCCCAAATTTTTCCAGGTGGCTTACTCCCCAAACTCGCTTGTTTAGCACAGCCTGTGCTGACTTACTGGGAAGACCAAAAAGCAGCGGACCAACAAATCCGCGCCCGGCCCTTCCCCAGCGTCCGGCAAAAGTCCGGCGCGTCCGGCGTCCGGCGCGAGGTGGCCCTGCGGAGCAATGCTCAACACTTGGGCTCTGCCTTCTTGGGGGCCTTGTATGCCAAGGACGGTGGCCTGTCGCAGGCCAGGTGAAGTCAGCTAGCCTGAAACGGATTTAACCAGTCTTGGGGCCAAACATGTCCTGCTTTAAAACAAAATCGGCACCAAACATAATTTGTGGGTGCCAAGGTGTTGACCTTTCTCATGGCCTTCAGGTGATCAGCTTTTGTTTTGAGTTCCTAAGGGCCAACAGATCCTTAGCATCCGAAAAGTCTTTTTTTGAGGGTAAAACCTGGGTTCCACATCGCATGGGTGTTCAGCAGAATCGCAGTGGCCTTTTCCTTTCGAATTTCGGGCTTCCGCGTGTCGGGCCCCTGGAACAGGTGTTGCACGGCAATAGAGATCCATAGATATCCATGTTTTCTTTCTAGCCTCTCCTTAAAGCAGGCCTTCCTAGCAGCTCCCATAACTTGTGTCCTGGCTACGCCTGACTTTTTCACGCTTGCCTTCGCGTTTTGTGAGTTTGGAGGCCTTTTGTGACTCGGGCGGGTGAAGGAGCAATGGCAATGGCCAACGTGGAAGCGCATGATCGGCACAACTTCCATTTGCTTCAGACTATGTGTTTTTTATGTTCCCGTTGTTGGTTTTAAAGGGGACCTATCACTGGGGACTCCAGCAGATGGAAGACAAATATGAAGAGACAACCTGTCCATCCGGAAGATCTGCCCACCTGGCCGGGCTTGTCTCCATATGCCCCGCCTAGGTCCCCCAGCAGTGCCCTTTTTACCAACCTTTTTGGTTGGGAGGGGAAGGAGGACCTGGCCACGCAGGGTCCTGGAGCCAATTGGCTAGGAACGTACAAAGCCTTTGGTCCTTGTTTTGGGTCATTGGCTCTCATGTTGTGGCTGGGTTCATGAAAGTGAGCAATTGGACGCATATTTCTAGGGGTTGATTCCCAATTATTTCCAACATTCGTTCCTTCAACAACCGGCTGTTTTATTCTTTTCTTCTTCTTTTTTTTAAATAATGGTTTCCTGAAAACATTCGGATCCCAAGAATGGACATGGAAGGTACCCCTAGGATATTCTCACAAATCGTTTTCTTAAAATGGAAAGCGGCATGGAGCTGCTTCCGTTGGGCGATCGGTGTTGCTTGCCACAAAACGACCCAATGTTAACAATGGCGCACGAGGACCGCCCCAGTTGCTTAAATTGGTTTTTGTGTTTTAACAATCCCAGACTCCAAAAAATGGGCGGCTGGCTCCCAGCCATCCGGTTCCTTAGCTTTTTGGCCTTTTGGCGTTTAGTGGTGGTTTCCATTTAACCCACCAAAAGTTATTCACTTTTAGCGGGGGATCTGAAAACGGGCAGCCCAGTTTTTCTTTGACAATCCCAGACTCCAAAAAAAATGGAGCCTCCCCCCCTCCCCCTCCCCTCCCCGTCCTCCCCTCTTCCCCTCCACCCCTCTCCCCCCCTACAATGGCGCACAGACCGGTCGACCCATTTGCTTCAGTGTTGTTTTTTGAACAATCCCAGACTCCCAAGAACGCCGCCCCCGCGAAAAACCACGCCGTGTCATGACCTGCTGAGCGTTCGGACGTGGGAAGTGTTTAGGCGGAGATGGCTCGCCGGAGCTGGCTCATGGCAGCAGCGGCGCGGAGGCTTCAGAAGACCGCCCAGGCGGAATGGAGGTCGAGGTGTTTTTCTTCCTTTTTTTTGGGTTTGGTGGGGGAGGGGGGGTGTTTTCTTATTCATTTATTTATTTATTTATTTATTTTTTGGGGGGGTCTTCGTTTTTTGTTGGTGGCGGCGGGGGGGGGGGGTCAAGGAGACACCTGAAAGATTGAAGATGTTTTTTGGTTCTTTTTTTTCTGTTGTGTTTTTTTCCACACAATCAAGGAGAAACCAAAGGTGGAAGTAGCTGAGGGCCAGGTTTTGAGATGTTTTGAGGGTGCTTTCTGAAAGGGAGCCAGGCATTTTGTGGGTCCAACGAGACCCAAAAAGACTGACAAGTATCTTCAGGTGAGGCGTGAAGCGAACACTGCAGACGTGTGGCTCAGTGAGAAGTGAGAAGGCCTCAAGTTGGCTATGGCAACTTGGGCGGGGGTGGAGCGAGTGAAGAAGATCTTCAAGGATGCAGACACTGATTGCAACGGCTCTCTGAGACGCTTGCCTGATATGACGCAGCTGGCCTTTGTTTGTGCTTCTTTACTTTACACGTTGAAAAGCTTACGCCCGTACAGGCTAGTTAACCAGGTCCCCCAGAACCCATTTTTTGGGGAGGGTTCCCCTGCTAAAATCGACTACAGAAAAAAAGGGTACCCTTAGAAATAGTTAGCATGGAAGCTGAGTCCAGGCAGTAGGTTTATTGTGGCTCCGCTGGATTTTGGTTGCATTCCTCGGGAAGGTCGGCGTCAGCAAGCGCAACTTTGAACGGGAAGTGTCACTCTCGTGGAACCTAGCCAACGAGGGATGTGTTGTCAGATCATGTCAGATCATCGTAGTGGTGGCAAATGTCATCGCCAGCGCAGAAAGGCTCCTTCTTACGGATTTTTTGCAAGATGCTCTCCTCAGAGTCAGACATCGCCACCCTTTACTTTCTCCCAAGATCTCTACTGCATGAACCACATGTTTTCAACCTAAGCCTATGACCTCCATGCCAACAGACAGAAGTTCTATTTTAGTGGCGCTGGCTCATTTGCACGACTGGCAAGCCTTGGACCAAACAAGTGGCATTGGAGGCTTCACGTTTACCTGTGGAGTACCAAAATCCATGCTTCAATATGGAAATGCGCAAAGAAAAGCCGAATTGGCCAAGTGCCACACTATTTTATCAACCTCAGTCTTTCCAGCACAGGGATTCCTGAGTGGCTCAGGATCCATGCTAGCAACTATTCTCATTTCGGCTCCCGTGGAAATGGCTACAAAGATCGGCCACACAAAGTCATTAACGCAACCCCCCCAAAAACGAAAGCCACGTCAGGGAAATTCCCACAAGTGGTGTTTGCTTCAAAAATGTAATTATGCTATTGTGTAGGGGGTAGATGTGCACACACACACACATATATATATATATCATATATTTATACATATGTATATGCACATGGGAACATATGCAGGGGACCGTATGTAAATGTAAGATGTTGACCCCCGGATTAAGCCCCATATGGGGGTGTTCCCCTCCAAAACTGATGATGCCCACTAATTCCAGACACACCCCCATATCAATAAACGGGGGTTTATTAATCCGGGGTTACTACATATGTTTTACTGGAGGGGCTTGATTTTGATTCCATCCGTTAGGCAAAGATGAGCTGAAGGCCGTCTTTCAGAAGGTGTCCGACTGGGATGACGAGACCATCGACGCGCTGATCGCGCAGTGCGACTACAACAAGGATGCATGGCTGTTGTCGGGAAACACAGAGGGGGCAAGCCTGGGGTCTCCTCCGACTAAACACGGAGCAGAGTCAGAAGATGTTTGGTTATTTGTGGGCCCCTGTCCATGCTTGTTGTTGGGAAACATTTGACACATTTTGGCTTATTGTGGTTTAGTGGTTGAAATCCCCCACTTAACTGCTATTTTTTTCATTTTTGCTCCCCTTCCAACGTCGACCAAGGATGGGTCCTTGCAGATCAGGGAGTTTGTAGACTTTGCCACCCGGCACCAGGGGACCAGGAAGGTCGGCAAGGATCGGGAGATCTAGTCCCCATAGTGATTTGGACCCCGAAAATGTTTAAGACTGTTTGGACGTCTGTAGTCTGTAGACTTTGTTTCTCAATCTAAAAATCCTTGTGGTATTTTTGTTTTTTGATTTTGCTAACCCAGGATGTCAGTTTTTGTGTACTTTCTGTTTTTTTGGGCCAACTCAGGACTTCCTCCGTTTTTGTTGGCGAGTTTCTGGGCTCTTTTTGGTTCCTGGGTTTTGCATTCGCTCGCTCCGAGCCCCGAGTCCGAGGTGTTCCGCGGCATCAAGCGCGAGCGACAAGCCAAAGACGACAAGATCAACCTGGTGAGGCTCATGGCGATGCACTCGGCCTACTACGACGACCTGAAAGACCGAGTCCACAACTACTTGCAGGACCCGGGGCTATTACCCGGGACGGGCCAGCTAGGTGCCAACTTTTGGCAAGTGTCTTTTTTGGTGAGGGTTCCCCTTTCAAGTAGACTACAGAAAAAAGGGTACCCTTATTCTAGCCTCTCTGCTGGAGGACCTGGACAAATATAAATATACCTACAAACATGCCGAGTAAAGTAACTTCAATTATAATTAAACATGTAAATAGACAAGCAACATCTGAATGGGAATGCCTGAATCATCGTTGTCAGGGGCTCTTCAAAGAGGGGACCCCTCTCTGGAAATAGTCCAGAGGAGCCCTATTAAACTAGACCCTGGACGCTATCCTTGGTTATTAGCCTCTATTTGGAGGGGGGGGCTCTTGACAGCCATAAGATTTCAGGGGAAGGGCCTAGGGCCAAATGCCAAGCGCTTAGAATGGCAGAGGCCCATAAAACATGAGAACCATTGGCTGAAATGAATCTTGGTTGATTTCCCCGTGTTGGGTTTAAAGGGGATCGATATTACCACTGGAAAGTTGTACTTTTTCCGGTCAAAACCGCAAATGGAATCAGAATGGTTTGCATGCGTTCCGCAGGACCATGGCATCAATCCCATTGACTTCAACTGGGAAGATGAGTGGCCGGACGCCCTCCCCTTCTGCCAGGAGAATCATGTGGAGCCTCTGCCAAACTGATTTGCTCATTCTACCGGCAGTTCGGCCCATGGGGCTTGCATTTTTTAAAGTGCAAATCGTGTTGACCACAACTGGCTGCCCGGGCGGCCAGATTTGTCATGGCGTCTCTCAGGGCATAGGGGTTGCTGAAATCAATTGCCCATCTGCTGGGGCTTGGACAGTTCCCAGTCTGCATGCGTTCAGTCGCTTTTTGATAGCATCTAGATGGTTGCAGAACGCAGCTTTGAACAGCACGGGATGGTTGGGGGTCGCAACGATTTTCGGACATGAAACATGGAATTGGGGACTTGCCCCACCCCACCCCTCACCCATTTTTTTTGCGATGGGATCGAGGTATGGGTCAAAATTCAACCACCAGGATGTGGACCGCAGGTTGAATCGTCCTTATTTTCATTTATCTGGCTAAGCCATCCATTTTGGGGTTACCCTATTTTGACAACCACACACCATCTCTTAACATAACTCACCCTTCCGCCCCGATCGATCTCTTGCGGTGGGAAAAGCCTGGCCTGAGGATATCTTGAGCCTCGAAGTGGGTGTGCTCCGTATGGCCTGTGACTCACCAGCAAAAAGCTAATCGACCTTTTGACCTTTTGGTGTCCTTCTCTTGGCAACCATACTTCGTCAAGGTGATCACCTTTTAGTCCCAGGTCCCATCCGGGGCAAGTGAGGTTGGGGATATCTTTCTCACTTTGGCACCTTGTCCGTCCATGTTCATGTTCCGCCTTGGATCGCCTTCGTGGCCATTTTTGGGCAACCTGACTAGGTCCCCCAGCAGTGCCCTTCTCACCCCTTTTTTGGTTGGGAAGACTACGGCACAAAAAATTGGGTACCAACTTATTCTAACCTCCAAATCTGGAGGACCTAGATGTTCATTGTCCGGCTTCGTGGCAATTTTTGGGCAGCCTGAGGTGACTTCTAACCGCAGTAGTGCCCTTCTACCCTTTTTTCTCGAAGAAATGTCCCCTTCTCAACTAGATTGCAGCATAAAGTTCGTTCCCTTATTCTAACCTCTGAGGTGACAAGCCGGAGCTGTGGTATCAGCGAGACAAATGGGTGGAGGACCAGGACATCCCCGAGGATCGGCTCTTCGAAGTGATGCCTTGGGTCCCTTCTGCTGCACGTCGCGTTCGGTTCGGGGTCGGTTCGCGCGCTATGGGTCTCGCTCAGGGTGCATCTGGGAGAACGGGGTTTGGAGTTCCGCGGGTTTTTGTGGGAGTTCCCCTGGTCGAACCCCATTTTAGTCACTTTTGAAGGTTTGGACCGTTTTGTTTTCGTGGGTGAACACAGTTTAGCTACACAAGTTTTGGTGGTGTACCCCATATTTCCCCTGGTCTCTCCCCACTTTAGTCACTTTTCAAGGTTTGGACCATTTTGGTGGTGGACACAAAGTTTAGCTGCTTTTCTTGGCCCATCCACTCAGGAAGTTGAGGTGCATGGTGTCAGGTATTGGGTTACTTGGATGTTCGGCCCAGTTAAGTGGCTAGCCTGGGTGGGAGCCCAACAAGGTCTCCAAGCAAGGAGACCTATGAGTGGGTTATAACCCAGGCTCCAACAAAGTTGCTAAGTTAGCCGAGCGCCCAAGTAAGGGCAAATTTGCTATGCAACCCAGTTGGTAATTTGCTGCTTGTGGATTGGGCTGGCCTTCAGAGTCTGTAATCCCACCTGAACAAAATAAGCTCAGGCGATATCCCCAACAGCATGCGGTGCTTTTTTTTGTGCTAGCACCACCCCGCAGCCCTCGCAGAACCTCGTGGAACCCTCGTGGACGAAGCCTATCTGGGCTGAGACCCCAAAACTTTCAGCCGTTGGGGAAAAAGCAACTCACGTGTGTAGAGTTGTTTGTTTGGTGCTTTTTTTTGAGGATCCTTGTGGGTTTTCCATGTTGCTTTGCAGCGCGCGAAGCCACGGGGCCGATTTTTTTAATGTTCAAAGCTTCCATCGCATACCCAGCATAGGCCTCCCCACACAACGCCCATCCGCCAGGCTTTTCCCGCACTCCAAGCAAGCGCCAAGCTGCATGATATCCTGCCAACAACAAACCCCTCGCAGCTACCCAGCGCAGCGAAGGGCTAGAATATGTGTTTGACATAGGCTCACTCCCTCGGTTCCTGGACTTTGGTCACTTTTTGCGAAGACCATTTCTTAGTGGCAAACCAAAAGCTTGGACTTGTTCTGACAATCCACTCAAGTGGGCAAGGGAAGGGTGGGAATGGTTCGTGGTGAGGACAGTCCAATCATAATTGGATTAACGTCGGCAAGAACCTTGGATTGCTTTGGGCTGATTGCTCTTCAGCATAAGGAATGGCTGTGTGCAATTGCTTTGCGAACATGGCGGGCTGGCCAGACTAGTTGCCAGGTAATGCTTGTCCTGCAGTGAAAGCTGTTCTGATTTCTCAGTTTCGCCTGAGTTGTCCTGCCCATGCTGAGGTGAAGGAAATCATCGACAAGAGCAAGAACCCTGCAATCGCGTTGCAGATCATTTGGAAGCCAGCTGGCTCGCCAGCCGCTGGACTTGCACTGCTGACAGGCGTTGTGGGCATTGTGGCTGTATCATTTTTTGAGGGTACCCCGGATTGGTTGGTTTTAAAGGGAAACTAAAATCAAACCATCCACTTTTGGGGGGGGCCGTGCAAAAACACACACACACACACACACAGACCCACCCGCCTTTCCACCCCCGCACGCACGCACGCATGGACTGACACAGACATTGACCCAGACCCACACACAGACACAGACACACGGACACAGACACACAGACACACACAGAGACACGCAGGCACACAGACACACAGACACAGACACAGGCACAGGCACAGACACACAGACACAGACACAGGCACAGGCACAGACACACACACACACACACAATGACACACAAACACAAACACACAAACCCACAAACACACCCACACAAACACACCCACACAAACACACCCACACAAACACACCCACACCCTCACGCACACCCACACGCACACACACTTGTGGTAATCCCCCCTCTTTGATTTATGCTTCGGCTCTCCTATGCGTGTGCTCGTGGCTTGTTGATCTAGTTACAGTCGAGGGTGCAGGATCATAAGCCGCAATGGCTAAACGGGAAAATGGTGAGACATCGGAGTAATGAAACTGAATTAATCGGAGCAAGGTTTGTAGCAAAGGGGCTCTAAACGCAAACAGCGCCAAAAAGTTCAAATGGGACAGCAAGCTGCGTCAACTGCGCCCATGCCTGTCCGTGACAAGCAGGTACGTTTTCACCCCGGCTCAGGGGCGTCTTCGTTGGCCAGAGTCCCCTGAGCCGGGCTCTGGCCCCCTGCGTGTCATGCTTCGTCTGATTGGAAAAATTGCGCAGGCTAGCTAATCTACCCGTTTGCCCCAGATTGGGCATTGGTCTGGCGCGTGAAAAGCGCTAGTTCAAATGGTAAATGCGCCTGGCGCATTAAGCAGCCTGGTGCAGCCATTCCAGACCGCTGCGGCAAAAAACACGAGAGGCCCTTAGTGACAGGGTTGGACACACACAGCCAGCCCAACGGGCGACTCTGCACGTTAAAGCGCAATAACAGAAAAGCCTTTGATGACTGGGTACCAACACAGGCATCTGGCTCTTCGGGCAAGAGCTCGCGAGCTCAGGGAACCGGCGTGGGGATCAGGGGCGAGAGGTATAGCATCCCTCTTTGTTGGATGGAACTGCGGTGAACACCAAAGCCGCCAATTGTTCGGTGGGAGGGTTCCTTCAACAGGTAGCCGGAAAAAACCAAAAAGAGAGAGAGGGACCGTGTTGTCGGTCCTCAAATATATGGGGCATATGCAACTCAGATCATGGTTCGCCGAGGCAAAGTACATCCGAAACCGCTGAAAAATCCGAGTGCTCGGCACGGAAGCGTTCAACACTGCAAAGGTCTTTGCGCTCCACGGAAACTCCGGCAGGGAATCCAATCACGCCCAGGAATTCCTTCCTCACCTAGTCCCCTGGCCATTGCGGCGTCCAAGGCCAGACCAAGCCCCAAGAAAACCAAGAAGCCCGAGAGGGACCCAACCACACCCAGGGATTCCTTCCTGTGCCCTGCCCCCCAAGCCATTGCGGCGAACAACCACGTGCGGCTGGAGGGAGGCAGGCCAGGCAAAAACAAAGGAAAACCCCAAGAAAACCAAAGAAAGAAAACAAAGAAGCCCAGCGACACGCAGGGATTCCTTCCTGTGCCCTACCCCCCTGGCCAATGCGGCGTGTAACCACGTGCGGCTGGAGGGAGGCAGGCCAGGCCAAACAAAGGAACGCCCCAAGAAAACCAAGAAAACCAAGAAACACAGGCGGGGAATCCACCCAGGGATTCCTTCCTGTGCCCTGCCCCCCTGGCCATCGCGGCGTATGACCACGTGCAGCCGGAGGGGAGGCAGGCCAGGCTAAACCCAGAACCACCCCCACGAAACCCAACCACACTGAGAGATTGCGTGACGTCTCGCCAACCTGGGTGGCCTGAAGGCTCAAACGGTCTGGAATTTGCGACTTCTGAGATTAAAGGCACAGGAAACCAAAAGCTTGGATTCGAGCCGAAAGCAGAACAAAAAAGCAAACGTGGTAGTGCCCATGCTGTACAGCGAACATGGCACGATGGCACGTGGTCACAAAATTGACTACGATCAGAACATCACACCGACGTACAGGGCATTTTTTGCAACGCTGTCAAGATGCTTATCATGCGAACATGCCGGAACGGATTAAAAGGTCAGGTGCAATAGCTGATGCGACAAGGCCATGCCATGCAACACCCCGAATCACGAATCTGAATTATTCGCCGCTGGATATCAGCGACCAAGGATTAGTCAGGATTGTATGGCAACTGATGGGCGCAGTGGCTGGGGCAACCACTTGGTGCCCCAGTTGTCTGAGTGATCTTGCACTAGGAACACTCCGTCGATGGCAGCCAAATCGCTGCGCACACACCATCGTTTGTCTTTGCTGCCACTACGCACTGCGGGGTAAGAATAGGCAAGAGCTTGTTCCTTCCAGGTATCCCCTCGGTTGAACTTGTAATGAGTGCCGGACACAGTCCCCGTTACTCCCACATTGGTGGTGTTTTTGGGGTGCTCCGAGCACGCAAGCAAAAAGTCAAGGATACTCCGCTCATGGTAGCACTCGGTCGAGACTCTACAGAAAAAACCTAATGGGCATTTCCTGCCGACCTGGGACTCACTTTCAGAGTCAAGCGCTAAGGTTTCAGCCGAAGTTGGCATGATGATGCCGGTGCGAAATATCCCGGCTAGGCCTAGCTGAGAAGAAAAATGAACAAACCGCATGGAATACTCGCCAGCTACACGGTCTTGATTGACTCCGGGAAAAGCTTGGGACGGGTACAGCCAAACAGCGGTGCCGGTAGTGGCTGTAGCTGCTACCGCACGCTGGTTAAAAATCTGGGTGTACGGCATTTCCGAAGCAATGATCGCGCTGGCCAAAACATGCACGGTTGAGATCGGAACACCATTGACCGGGTCCTCTGGTGCTACGGGCGCCAAAACTAAAAGGTGCCGAACGCATTGTTCCACACTTGACGGCGGGACACGGCTGAAAGGTGTCACATTAGCTTGAACCCAGGCCTTTCGGCGCTGGTGTTCCACGACGTCTTGAATCGTCAACGGGAACGGCCAGTGCGGGGAGAGCATGTTATCTGCCTGTCGTCGAAGAATGCGTTGAAGCCAGTCTTGGACTGTCTGATCAACGAACGTCTGGCCAGGCACAATGAGACCACTCGCGGTGAATTCCGACTCCCGATTTTCAACTGAGGTTCGAACAACGAGGTTGGCATCAGGTTTTGACCCTGCTGCCTCGGGATGTTTCGGAGTAGTGTCCTTCTCAAGGACCGGTGTACCAGGGCGGAATTCGTGAGAAGACCAGGCTTCATGTCGCGTGACCCGCTTGGCAGGCTGCGCGCAGGAAACGGGCTGCCGGTTTTGAGCAGCCGTCTTTCTTTCGGGTGTGCGCGGTCTCTTATCATTTGCAGTGACTAGCGGGGTTGCTCTATGTGGAGCATGGTAGTAAAGAGGTCCGTAGCCTAGGGCACTAGTCTTGGAACCAGATGCCGGAGGCTGAGCCGGTCGGTTTTTGAAAAAAATCGACTGAGGCGGCTGACCCCTGCTAGTAAGCCATGGCGTGTGAGATTGGATCGGCGCGGGATGTGGTCGCTGTGGGACATCAAACCGCCCGGGAGGAAATGCAAGTAAATCATTTCGCGCTGCAGCTTGATGAGGGGTCGCAGGGTGCCCAGGGTGCCTAGGGTGCCCAGGGTGCCCAGGGGGTTGCGGGGTGTTTGGCGGCAGCGTTGGTTGGCGAGGGAGGCTTCGACTCCGACACCTGCCTTGCCTGGAACGCTTTCTGTGGCGCTTGGCGTGGCGATCGTCACGCCGACCCCTACCCCTGCGCTCGCGAGAGGTTCGATCTCTGTGCTTGCGCACTTGATTCCGGGAACGGGAACGTCGACGGGATCGTGATTTGTCCCGTTGACGAGTCTGCGGTCTGTCCTGACGAGCATCAGGTTGAGACTGCTGCTCGGGGGGGTCAAAAAATCCTGGCGGCGCTTCCAAGACACGGTGGGAAGGCCTATTCGGATCGGGCGCGTGCACGGTAAGAAGGCTTGGCTCGTGGCATGCAGGACGAATTAGTGACCACTGCTGAGCTGGCGAGGAATTCGCTGTAGCTCTGCTATCTGCAAAGAACTGAAACACATAGGTTGTCATGGCGGGATTCCGTGTGCTTAGATACACGGCCTAGGAACACCAGGTCTCGGGCCAAAAGACTCCAGAGAGCAAAAGATCAGAGAGGCAAGAGGTCTCCAGATTATGTTGGCACGGAACGGAATGCGCAGGTGTGAAACCAAGTTCATCAGAAATATATGGTTGCCTTTCAACGATGCCGGCGCAGAATTGTTCTCGACACAGACCTCGCCTAATTCACGCGAAGCACTGGTTTGGTCGGCATGTTGCAAGCATCTGGTTAAAGCAAAAGAGCGGACGGATACCCCTTGTCTATATACAGTTGACGGAGCGCATGCAACTGGGAAGCCTTGGCTGCTGGCGGCCAGGCATATTTGCGAATTAATGCTTTTCGGGAGTTGTAGCTACTAAGCATAAGTCTCCAAGACCCGGCGCTCTGCGGATGTTTGATCATCCACGGCTTATCCGGCAAAACGAACATGGCTGAGCGATCATGGGCACAAATCTGGAATCCAAGCCATTTGTGATCCTGCACGGATTCAAGTTCTATAGACCCTCCATAAAAGGACGGCTGCAGAAATTCTTTCATGACAGGGTGAGACATAGCTTCATGACTGGCCAAGATTAACCGGTTGTCCGCATAGCGGAACAACAAAACTTGACGGGTCTCTTGAAGAAACTTCTGAAAAAAGCCCTGGGTGTGCCAAGACTTAAGCCAGGTTCGTTCTTTAAGAATGACTGGCAAGCTGGAAAGGACAGGGCTTATCTGGTTTCCTATACAGGTCCCTCGGATTTGC